GTCTACATTTTACCTTATTGAGTGGCTTTAAGCTTATCCGAATACTTCGGATAAACGACATGTACATGCTTTTAAGTTAAAAGTGAAAAAAATTTATGTGCATCAACATCCCGCCCGCACACTTGGCATTGAATATGTATGCAATTTACTGCTTTAATGCCAACGCATTTGTTCTAACCAAAAACAAGACAGCACGGATAATAACAAGCCTCAAGCATTGCTATTAACTATTGTATATTTAAATGGGTTTTACACCATGAAGCGTTTGTGAAGCTTTGCGTTATGAACTTATAAAATTCGAAAATGACGCTTTTCAAATACTTTGCATATTTTGTGGCTGCCGCTATTTGTATGTAGCTGCCATTTATGCAGCTGCACTTTTAGTGTGTGCACCTTATTCTTCTTCTTCTTCACCTTCTCCTTCTACATTTACCAAGTGCTGAAGCACTTCAAAGTAGTGCCGTCGGGGGTGCTGCATTAATTAACTGCATTGCGGTAAATGATAAATTTTAAAACAGCAAGCACTTCAATAGAGTGCAGTGCAGTGAAGTGTAGTGAAAGTAGAAGATGGCGTGCTAAACGTAGCATGCTTTTAGATGCGTTTGCACCTCCTAAATATATACTATATATTTGCCATATTAACCCCAGTTTAGCGATATTTAATGAAGTATGCCGCAGCTGGTGAGTTTTCATAATTCATAATTTAATATGAAAAAGATAATGAGAAAAATTTGCATAGCAAAATAAAATTTATGCAGAACAACTAAAAAACATATGCATATTAGTGCGCTTGTCATAATATTTTGCTGTTGAAAAACAAAATCAAATTAATTTCACGCTTCTTGGCCATGTTAATTCCCGATTATTTCACTATATTACCACACCTTCGTACTGTTACTGGTTCTGCTGTGGTAAAATTTCACCTTTATCCTGCTGCAAATTATCTACGCGCTGATTTAACACTTGGCTTAACGTGTTAATTACTGAATATTAACAGTTTTCCCATACATACAAACAGTAGGTGTGTGAAATCCATTCAAAACTATGCCTTACACAAAAAGCCTGCCTCTTCATACCAACTCAACTGCATAGCAGTGTCAGCTTTATCTCGTCACCTTTGGAAGTTAAAGTTTAGCTTTTTTGCTGATCCACCACTTTTTTCTTGCTTTTCCTCGCCCTACCTCTCTCTTACTCTCTCTCTCCCCCTCCCTTTGTCTCTCTCGAAGTACACACATCGTTGCTTTCACAACGACAAATTAATTAAAATTCATTTCAATTTCCTTTCAACAACTTTTTACTATGCTTTACTACGTGAGTCCTTTTCGTGTGTGCGGTTTGTTTTTGTTGGCGGTGAGGCAAAAATTATACATATGCTAGCACGTACTCAGCACAACAGTGTGTCATGGTTGTGTGTATACATATGTATGTACATACATATATGAGCCACATTAGTTTAGTGCCGCTACAACATGCCTAAACTCGTGCTCGACTTTGCTTTCATGACCTTTCTCAAGTGGCGTCGCCAGTTGTTCGAATTCTCATAATTTCGTATATTTAGCGTGGAAATTTTTATGTTCACTGTATTTGCATTTCAAAATGTATTCATATGCAAATATTATATATAATATATATGTATATGTATTTAATAGTAAAGCACTACAAGCCTCCACCATTGAGTTGCTTAGGAAAAAAATTATTTTAAAATTTCAAAATCTCTTTCTTTACTTAACTTTATCTTATTTATTGTATTTAATGCAGTTCAAGGTTAGGCGAGGACTTGTGTGACAAACGAAAAAAAAATGGTTGGAATATATTTTATGTTATACTGTCATTTCATTTCTTCCGTAAGGTAAATGCAATTTATTGAAAATTACGACAAGATTTATGGTGGTTGAGTGCTTTATCTTTGTCGAAATTTTGCACAGTACAGGTGCATACATACAGTTTTATTTATATTTATTTACTTCAACTTCAGTACGTAAATATATATTTTGAATCATTTTATACAAATATTAAAAACTTGCGAATTTTCTATATCTATTATATAAAAAGAGGAAGAGGGCAATCTCCACTCCGTTGGGAGGATCAGGTGGAGAGTGACCTGATTTGCTTTGATATTTCAAACGGGCTCCGAACAGCGAAAAAAATGAATGAAATTCGGCTATAATCGCGTAAATGAACCGAGCCATTTCGGATAATTTTTCTTCATATAAACTTATTAGTTGCATCCTAAAATGTTTTATTTAATGAATTTTTATAAATTCCCTCTGGTTTTACCTTAGATGCACAAAAATCTTCAAATCACCTTAAAGAGCTGCTTCGATTTCAGTATGGTAATGTAGTGGTTTAACTTTAGAAGCATAAAAGTACTTATCCGAATTATCCGAACCATTTCGGATAATTTTTTTCTGCATATAAACTTATTAGTTGCATCCTAAAATGTTTTATTTAATGAATTTTTATAAATTCCCTCTGGTTTTACCTTAGATGCACAAAAATCTTCAAATCACCTTAAAGAGCTGCTTCGATTTCAGTATGGTAATGTAGTGGTTTAACTTTAGAAACATAAAAGTACTTATCCGAATTATCCGAATTACTGCGGTTAATATTTTTCTATGTACACTGTTAAAGCTATCATGCAAAATGTATTCCAACATAGAGAGGCAGCATAACAACAATGGAAGCATGAAAGTATTTATCCGCATTATCCGAACTTCAGCGGATAAATATTTTTCTAAGTAAACATTTAAATATGTTATACAAAAAGCTATGTGAGCATCATTTAACTGTTGTAGATTGTTTTCCAGTTGTATGGAAAACGCTTTTAGTCGAGTTAAACAATTTTTATGACACAATTTTAGAACCGATTCTCTTAAAAGAAGTCAAAATTATTAAATTTTGGTTCATGCGGTTAACCGCGGATAGTACTATGTACACGTATATTGCTTAAGAGGTGTACAGTATTATCTCGAATAACGAAAAAATACTCACGGATAAGCGGTTTTTGGCTAAAGCGGACAGTTTCGGGCAACTTCAAGCCCAGAATGAGAGAATGTACGAGTTTGGAAATATACTTTTAATTGCAGTAGACTTCGCGGATAAACTCAATTAAACTTCTGTGATGTTAGACAATATTTTTCTACCACAAAGCGTACTTTCACTCTTTTAAACTGGAACTGATAATCTATAATAATTTACTGTTATTTTCACACTTTGAACTTGAACGGATAACTTCTAATAATTTTTGGGCTAAAGTTTGAAAGTGTTGGAGGCGGGAAATAAATTTTAAGTAGCATTAGAGTGCTTTAGACTCAAGCGGATAAAAGTTAGGATAAGCTCGGATATCATTTTGTAGCCTTTATTGGTATCTGGCGGTATTTTTAAATCAATTAGAATATGATTTAGGTATCATTCATGCCTTTAAGTTGACACAAAATTGTTTGCATAGATTTTAAGTCACTTTTGGTTAAGCCGGATAACACTTTTAGTGGAATTTTGCTTTTTGCCATCGAGGTGTAACATTTTAGAGGCCTGGAGTTTGGTTCCATAGCATAACTTCGGATAAGCTTGCGGATAAAATGTTGTAAATTTTTTTGAATTTTTTTTAAATTAAATTATTTAAAACTTCTTGAATTATCATAATTTTTTTAATAGCTGTGTTATTTCTCCATTTTTAGTCCCTTCCTACACTAAGTTCTTCTGTATGTATTTCTGTACAATAATCGCATCTGTAATTGTAAACGAATTATTGATTGGCCACTTGAAGGTACAATCGCCGCTAACCTACATTTGTCCGCATTTTATTCTCAATACTGATTGAATTGTGTATAAAGAAAATGTGATGGAAGAATGAATGAAAGAAGGCCCAAGCTAAGCAAAACGAGAAAAAAGCATATTTATGTTGATGAAAAAAAAGAAGAATCGCCTCAGTTCATTTGTAGCGAGATGTAAATAAAAATAACTCAAAAGGATTAATGCCGAGCGCGGTGTATGTGAGAGTAAGAGGGAGATAGAGAGGGGGAGGGTGGGGAAGGACGAGGTAAATGAACCGTCGGATTATATAAAGGATACTTTGTACTTCCACTTGTTTCGTTTGTTTCTTACTCGGCAAACTGCCAGAAACAAACAGAAGACATTCAACGCAACTGACCTTTAAGCGGACAAAGTGCGGAGGAGATTAAGAGTGTCGGGGTGTCAGGGATGGGGGGGGCTCGGGATGCTATGGAAGGTTGCGAAAAGTTGACTGACGAGCAAACAAATGCGCTCAATCGAACGATAAAATTGTCGTTTCTTCAAAATTTTGTCGATTAAGTGGCAACAAGCAACAACAGCAACAACCACAGTAACAATAAACCAAGCGCCAAAATGTATGCCACGAATTTTCGACGGCATTTGGGCTCAAGCAAAATTTTGTCTTGTTGATTTTAGCTCCTCTTGCCAGCTACAGCTTCATGCCAACACCCACCCAAACCGCTGCTAGTTTTGCTTCGAAAATAGTAGTCGGAAATCGTAAATCGTACGATGTTTGCCAAAAATATATGTGACTGTTAAACTGTTGTACGCTTTTTGGCAGTTGAATTTACGAGCCGCAACAACAAGTGAAGTGGTGCGAAGAACAGAAGAAGAGCGAGGCAGAGAGAAAGAGTGGGGAGTAAAGTGGAAGTGCTTCGAAAATGTGAAGAAAATTGAGCGCAGATTTTTTATTACTGAAATTGTGCCAGAAAATAAGAATAAAATGTAACGAATTAAGAAAAAAATAAAAATAAGTAAAAGAAACTAAACTTAAATTAGACGTAAACTGTGCCTTGTCTTGCTTTGCTGATATTAACACAAAACCATAAAAGTATTAAAGGATAATAAAATAAAGAAAAATATCAAAAAAAAAAAAGAAAAAGTTTAAGAAAACCCCGAAAAGAAATACAAAAGTGCCTTCAATAACAAAAATATACTAAATTGAAAAAGAAAACTTGTTCGCTAAAAAAGCCTATTACCCCAACGCAAGCAGCTTCAGCAGCATGTCCCGCGAGGTAAACTTCAATCGTCAATCCCTTGAGCTACGTAATCAGGAGTCCACATTATTGCCCGCAATCAATGCGCATGCTGTTCGGGGCGACATCAATATCAGCAATACTGAAACACTGTCGAGTACTGGCAATGCCTCCGCTGCCGCCGCCGCCGCCGCCTCCGCCAATTTCGGTGCCAGCGGCTTGAACGCAGCACCCCAACGTCGCCGCCAGCGCAAAGGCATTACACAACGACAGGATTCATGGTTTCGACATTCCATGCCACCAGCGTTGACGCGTGATTTCGAGTCCATTGAGAATTTGGCGCAGAATACCACCAACGGCTTGGACGAACAGTTGGCCGCCTCGCTTTCCGGCCGCTTTGGCGCTTCGACATCCGCATCATTGGCTGCTTCGCAAGCGGCGCATAATGGCGGTGGTAGTGGCAGTTTGACGTTGTGTGGCTTTGGCATTGGCGGTCTCGGTGGCTTTGGTGGCAGTGTGCAGAGTGGTAGTGGCGGTGGTGGTGGTGGTGTTGGTGGCGTTTGCAATCGTCTCGGCGGTGGCATCATCAATCTCAATAGTGCCAATAGCAATTTGGGTTTCATCGATTCGGATGAATCGAATCTCAATACACCGATAACACCGCTCGCCTCAAACTCAGCCTCGATTTATGGTGGGCTACAGCAGCAGAGTTCGGTATCGGCTGCCTCGGTGGCTGGCACTATTTCTTCGTCGAATGCCATGGGTAATGGTGGTGGTGGTGGTGGTGGCGCTAACGGTGGTGCAGCGAGTTGTCGTAGGCATCGATCGAAACGGCGCAAAGATTCAAGAGCCTCAGTACTGTCAAAACAAAGCGGTAATAGTGTGCGTAGTCGCGCCTCGGCATTGGCAGCTAGAGCTGGCCTACGTATGACGGCGTCATTTTTGCGCAAAAAGCGAAAAGAGTATGAAGGTGAGTTGTTAAGAACTATGGGTTATATGTAGATACATCTGAACGAAGTATATTTTATAGAACTATTAACTTAAGCATGTTTGGAATTGGAATTCTCAAAGTATTTTTGATTTTTCGAAATGTCTTTCCTTTTTTAAGTATTTTAAAATTTTCTGAACATTAAGAATATGTGAAACATCTTCGAATTTTTCTTTTATAAGAAAATTCGAATTCAACATACAAATTTCAAAACGAACTTCGAATGTTGCATGTATTGAAATCTTAAATTTAGAACTGAAATTTCGATATATCGTAAATTTATTTTCAAATATGTTGGAAGTTAAAAAAAGTTTCGACTTTTCAATATTTCGCGTGTTTGAAGAAAGTTTTAGGTAACTAATAAATTTTAAAGCTGCAATAAAAGAGGTTTTGAAGTTTTAAAACTGTTTTGCTGCTTCTGCAAAGCTTTTCGGGTTTTCGAAATTTACTTCGAATTTCGAAATTAATTTCGAATTCGCAAAATTAGTTTTTTTTCATTTCTTATTGTTTTTAATAGGAATTTAATTTTTACATAGTCCTATGCCTTGTTATTGTTCTTACTATCAAATATTTTTCTTTTTATTAATACAATTTTCTGTTTTTCCAATTAAAAAGTTTTATTTAATATTGGAAAAATCATCAATAACGATTTGATACAAAAAGTTTCCAAAAGTAAACAAGAATTGAGTAAACTTTTCGTTGGCGCCAGAATGGCTGAAGGAGTATAAGAAAAATGAAAGAAAAACAAAAAGCACAACAATAGCGTCAAAATCATTAAAACAAGCAAAGGAAAGCAGAAGAGAATAACGGAAGCGCTGTTGAATGGGGCGGAAAAGCATTATGATAAATAAAACGAAAAGTTAAATATTCATATAAACAAAAAACAAATATTGAAAGAATAAACAAACTCGAAGAAGGAAAAGAAAACGGTGAGCTGCGGTATAAGCTGGCGCAAAAGGTGCGAAAATGAGGAAAGCTTTTGATGACGGAGAAAAAATATAAAAAATTGATAGTAAAATTTGCTTAAAGAGTTTCTATGTACAGAAGTTTTTCAATTATTTTTTCCTTCAGTTCCATTTTTTTTTTTATTCTGTGTAAACTCTTTGGATAATCCAGCAAATAGTTCGTGCTTAGAATGCTCCATCGCAGTTGAACGACTTTATTTGCCATTTTGTAAGTTGTTATGAAAGCAAAACGCGCGCCTAAAATATGCTATATATACATATATAAGTTTATACTTTGCCAAAATGAAGTAGACATTTCTTTCCGATCCTTCACCGAAAGTCCAGTCTAAAGCTCCGCATACTTTCAGACGCCATAAAAACTTGCCTTCATTTTCATCACTAAAGTCAAATATAATCCTTTCTATATGCAGTTGGAATGGAAAAAGTTTTACTCATCTAAATGCATCTTCAAACACTCCAGCTCAAGTTTACCCATCCTCTACAAGTAGCTAATGTACTGTTACGTCGCCTTTTTCGCCGTTCATTCAACGCTTTTCCCGCACTTACAACGGTGAGCATACTCTTCAGCGCATATTTCTACTTTGTTTGCTTTTATGAGCAGTTAAAAGTGCCACATAGTAAAATGCGGTGGCATCAATAACAAAAAAAAAATACGCTTCAAGTTGACAAATGAAGATATCTTTTTTATAGCCAGGGTCCACACCACGGGCAGTGGCGCCTGAGTATATGCTAAAGGGATGTAGAACAAACTGCATACACGTTTTCGTAGCATACATTTTGGCGCGCTGCAAGTAAACATGGATGATGAAAATGCTTAGATAAGATATGTGGAGGAGTACTTCGATTGCCATTTAAATGGTCATTGAAAAATATGTAAAAAAATTCTCAAAATTGGAAATTAAATATTATTTTGACATTATAAAAAAGACTTCAGAGAATTTTTAAATAATATTCGAATATGTCGTAAGGGTTATAGAGCTTAGTGGAATTTAAATTCAATTTCCGCAGATTATCGCTCCTATTTACAAAAAATATTTAGCAATGACTGAGAAAAAGCTGAGAGAGTGAGGGAGAGTAATGATACGGGACATCAGTATTTTAATTTGAGGTGTTAAAAATATTGACATTTTGATTAAAAAATGTTGAATTATTTAGTTTTTTTGGAATTGTAAAATTTTTCATTACCAAGTTTTTTGGTATTAAGATTTTCTGAAATTAGTATAAAGAAATTTTCAGAGCTTTCAAGATATTTTGGGAAATTCGACATAATTTGTGAATTCTCGAGATCAGTTTCGAATTTTCGAAATAAATTTCAAATATTTGGAAAGAACTTCGAGCTTGCGGAGTCAACTTCAAAATTTCGAAATCAATTTCGAGTTTTCGGACTCAACTTCGAATTTCAGAAATACCCTACCAAATTTCGAAATCAATTTAAAGCTTTTGAAACCGGCTTTGAATTTTCCAAACTATCTTCGAAATTTTTGGATCATCTTCGAATTTGCAACGTGTTGAACCGGCGATACTTTATAATGCATTTAATTTTCTTTGCGTTTTTCATTTATGTATTAATTTTTTCACCTCTGTTTCCTCGTCATATTTTCAAAATTTTCCACTCTATTTCCCATTGAAATGCCTGCATTTCATTTACATTCCGTTAAAGTTATCCTGTCGTCCCCTGACATCTAATACAAACAAGGCTATAAAAGAGCCGTGGAACTCATTAAAATGGTGATGACATGCAAATAGCGTCGCACACTTACAACAAAAATGCATACAACAATGAACATTAACATGTTGCATACAATGCATTAACATATAAAAAAACTCATTAGAGATTTGCTACAAAATTTTACTCGCCTTGGCTGGTAGAGGTTCTGGGGAGACTCTGCGGAGTTGAAAAGATATTTACAACAAACAATGCTGACGATGACATGGAAAAATAGGTTAAAATACTCATTTGGATGCGTGACATTATTTTGAAAAGGGAAAAAGAAAGACGCTGAAGGAAGAGAGTGAGGTTGTTTATCTTTTAAACGTGAAGTACAATACTATCAACCAGCTCGCGAGTAGTAGATGAGCGAATTAGTAAATCGCTGTCATTTACAAAAGTCTTGCGTGGAATAAGAAAAATGTTGAAGAATATTTGTGAAGCGACTGGGAAGAGAGCAGTGTGAGGGTAATATTATACATGTGTATGTATATATGTATGTAATTTTCCATTGTATTAACAGTTTATTTGATTTCTTTACATACATATTACTATTTTAGTAAATTTTGTAATTTTCAATTTTCTTTTCGAAATCCGGTCCTTTTTTGAGGTTTCGTATTTCATTAATATTCGTTAAAACTAATTTAAACAAGTGTTCTTAGTTTTGAAATAATTTCTGAATTTTCGGAATTGAATTCGAAATTTCGAAATTGGAGTTTCGAAATTGAATTCGAAGTTTCGAAATTGAATTCGAAGTTTCGAAATTGAATTCGAAGTTTCGAAATTGAGTTCGAAATTTCGAAATTGAGTTCGAAGTTTCGAAATAAATTAAGAATTATTCAAAACAATTTATATTTTTTCACTTCGAGCTTTCCCAAAATTTTTTGCTCTTTCGAAAATTGTCACTTTAGCAACTTTGCAAAATTTTCGATATCCGAAACAAATTATTAATTCGTATTATATACGAGTACCTATGTACATATATACTGCATACTACTACCATTATTTACACAGGTTAGTACAGTATGTACTCCTACAACCATCTTTAGCCTCCATGGCAGTAAATTTTCCACGCTTTCACGGTACAACGACATCCGCCGGAGCTTTGGCTCAACATATTTTTCTTGTATGCTTTTCGCGTGTATGGCTTTCTGTCCCATTTAAGCCATGACATGTTGACAGCGTGCGCAGTTTTCAATATGCTACATATACAGAGGCACTTTTAAACCCACGTAAACATATATATATACATATATATATACATTTTCATATTGTATATTTCGCATTATTTGTAGAGTAAGCAGGCCCTTCGCATAGTAATTGCAATATGACCCCAGCTTTTAATAGCTTCCGTTTGTTTCCGGCAAAGATCTCTAGCAAAGGGAGCGTGTCCTTGCCGTCGGCGAGCGAAGTAATGTTAAAATATTTAAATTTAAATATGTACAGTTATATTTCGTTTTGTTTCCTTTTCTGTCGATATTGATATATGGGGCGCAAAACTTGACATGTTCTTAATGGTTTTGAGGTAAAGGCGAAGCATTTTTAAAATAAGTTTCTCCCACGAATAGAGAAAAAACATTACAAAAAACATTATTGAGTTGTTTAACTAGTATTTTTGTATATTCCACTGCTTGATTCTAGTACCTAAATTATTAATTTTTAGTTTATTTAGTTTTATTTAATTTTTTTAATATATTTTTTACTTCATTTATTAAATTTAATTTAGTTTATTTTAATTTTTTTATTTTATTTTCTTATTTTAATCCTTACTTTTTCTATATTTTAATTTTGTATTTTGTGTTATTTTATTTCATTTGACTTATTTGCATTTAGCTTTTACTTCATTTTGTTTTATTTCATTCCTTTTTACTTTTTTTTGTTTGTAATATAATATTTTCTTTCAGTGCTCCCCATTTAAGACTCCCATTTGCTTTGAAATACCATTCAAGGCATTCATCCTTTTGAAATATCAGTGAGGACTTTACGTAAAGGCATATGCCTTTCATACAAGCTGTATTTCTTTGGTTATTTTGTTGTTGTTGTTTACTCATATTATTATGCCGCTGCTCAATTTTGTTGCACTGATAAATGTGGCAGAAGTACCGCGTGTGATATTTCCATTGCTATACACTTTTGTTGTGTTAATACAATCCAAATTTATCGACATTTCTGCACACGCATAAATTCACGTGCAGCAAAAGAAGCATATTTCGTTTATTTTGCATCTATACATATATATTTGTAAGATAGATTTAGTGCTTGCGGCAGAGGAGCAGCTGTTCGGAATGCTCTTGGGTGACCTTGAGATA